GGGGTGGGTATAAGTGTAGCATGCATATGCGGGCGAGAAATGTAGGCAGCGAGGACCACAAGTGTTCCGTGAGATGTATCCTCTTCGCCCCCGTCCTATGCAGCAGTCCTAGTCATTGAACCCGCCGCCGATTCGGTGCCCCTGTCTGCATAACCGCAATAACTCGCAGCTGGGGGAGCTGGAGCCATCGCGCGAGCTTCTGCAGCAGTCCGGGTGCGGGAAGGCGGTGGCCAGCGCCCGCAAGTACTTCTCCGGGGGGCAGGTGAAGCACAACGACAAGGAGGTAGCGACGGCGGCGTCGAGCCTCCGCACGCGCTGGATGAACGCTCTCGCCGGCGGTGGCAGCGGCGGTTCTTCTTCGGGCGACAAGAAGATACCGCCGCCGCCGCTAGACAAGGCTTCGTCGAGGTCTCGCACCCCGCCCGATTCGGCGCAGCAGGGGTCGTCGTCGAAGAAGCAGAGGGTGGGCGAGGAGACGCCTCGCTCGCGGAGCCCGAAGCCAGAGACCGGCGGCGTTGCGAGAGAAGGAGGAGGGCGGGAGCCCAAGAGGGAGAACGGTGGGAGGGGGGGATCGCCGCGAAGGAGTTCCGGAGGTGGGCGGTACGGCGGCGGCGGCGGCGGCGGCGGCGGGCGGGAAGAGGGGTCTGCCGGCGGCGAGGGCGCGGCGGCGGTTAAGAAGGAAACCACGAAGGAGGTGAAGCAGGAAGCCAAGAAGGAGGTGGCTCCCGCTGCTGCCGTTCCCTCTGCTCCCGCTTCCGCGAAGATGTCCACAGCCGTCGCGAAAGATGAGGTAGGCTGACCCTCGGCGAAAATCTTGAGCGGTGTTGATGTCGTCGGCTTTTGCAGTAGGGGAGAATCGTTTGCTCGCTGCGTGCTGTCGGTGTTAAAGAGGAGTGGCTACCGAGAAGTGCAAAGAAAAGCGCACAGCAGGGGAACCACGCGGATTTTGGGCCTCTTGGGTGCGGGTCTATAGTCTTGTCGGGTTTCGACGTGATTGTTGTTCTGGGTGGCGGGATCTTCGGGGGTGGGGGGTGCAGAGTTTTGGCGTTGTTCACTTGAGGTTGAGACGTCAGATCGCTACCCGTTTGGTTGGGCAAGCCGTTGGGTGCAGAGGTGCCTTTTGCTCCCCGTCGCAGACTCCAAGCGTAGCTCTGGAATGAAACAGGTCGCCTTGACTATTCTTACAAAAGTTGCAACACCCGGACCCCTCCTCCTCCTCCTCCTCCTCGTTGTCGTCGTAATATCATTTTGCTTGCTTTCCCCGCCAACCGTTGTCGTGCCGTGGGTGACCCGTTGTGCTTCGGTCGATCGGACGGTTTCTCTTTTCACAGCCCCGACGCAGAGCAATGGGGATGCTGATGTCGGTATTAGGGACGACCGCCGCGGCCTTGGAACGTTGCACCGAGATCGAGGAAGAGCTGCACCAGAGCCAGGTAGGCGTGTTGGCCTGTCCCTCACGGCGCCGCCGCTTTTTTGGTGTAAGCCCGGAGCGCGCTCGCTCGCTGAGGAAGTGGCAAGGCACCAACGTGAACTACTTGCTTTTTGTTTGTATCGATGCACAGCTCCCGATACGTTTTTTTTTAAATCTTTTCACAGCTCCCCCCCCCCCCCCCCCCCCCCCCCCCCCCCCCCCCCCCCCCCCCCCCCCCCCCCNGAAACACCCGGGTTGCAAGTTCCCACAAAAAGCGTTTTATTTTGTTTTTATTGCGACAAGGCATCGATCACGCGGAGCCCCCACAGCGGCCGAATTCCTATGGGACAGGCCGTCATTTGCCAACAACTCCGGCTGTGGTGGCGATCCAAACTAATGCCAAGCCTCTAAAGCAACCTTAGGCGTGTCTCTACAGCATGGTGCCATCAAAATTTTGGACTGGATCGTTTTCTGAAGGTGCATATAGCGCTGAAAGTCAAATTTCGGGGAATCTTGCGGGACAATTCCAAACAAAGTTGGAGGTAGACACGTGGACCGTGTTTGCTTCATATTGGCGATAGAGTGCTTCACTGGAACGCCCCTCGTCATGGCGATCTTGCACCAACCCCTCAATGCTACCTATGCCTATATAATCCACTTGCAACCCGGGTGAAAATCTATCATGACACGACAAATATTCCGACAGGGCGGAGAGATCAGCAAGGAATACCTGCGACGGCTGCGGACGGCTGTGTTCAGCATGGAAGGCTCGGACAGCCAGAAGCTGCGGGACAAGGTCATGTCGGGATACGTTGTCTCCAGGTGAACGCGGGTGGTTAAGACCCCCCCCCCGCCCGTGCATTTTTCGGCATGAGCGCTACATAGCACAGAGTGGGAAGACCGAGAGAATCTTCAGCAGGATGTCTGGCGTTCACATGAAGTCTTACCTGGATGCCACTCGTGTCACTTACCTCCTGTCCGCCCATGCCCACGCTCCTCCCCTGTCTCCTATTTTTCCTCGCCCTTCTATCCTTCAATGTTCGTCCGCCACGGTGCGGTGCATCACGGTGCCTGCTGATGCGAATCAACGCACCAACGCAGCGATTTCGTGTCGAAATCTTGCGAAGAGCTTCGCGCGATGGCAGGCCTAACGTAACCCAACTAATCTGACCGGGGCGACACGGTCCTTCATTTCTAGCTGGCAGTGCTTCATGGGTGGCCCCCGCCAACCCACTCACTGAAGCGCTGACAGGATGGTCGGGGAGTGGTCGGAGGGAAGTCGTAACTGGCCTTGTTTTTTGATACCTTCGAAGTGGGGGTGCGCTTGGGCTTCCTCCGCTACCTCTGCTCCGTGGGCTTGGTAGATTAGGGCGACTGGTTAGAGTACAGATAGCAGTTTTACCACCGCACCGTGAACCACCCTCTCTGACAGGTCGACCGCAGCAGTACTGTTGTGCCACATCACAGGCCTTTTGGGTTGTATCTTGTAGGGTGCCCGTTTTTGTTTTTGGCGCTGGCTTTCATTGGCCCCCTGTCCGGTCAGTCGAGAATCGAGAACACCCCCTCCCCACGCCCGCCCCCTCTCGCCCGTGCGGTATATAGACGTAGACGGCAGACGCATCGCTAACTGAACTAGATGAAAGCAGGGTTAGCTACATTTTGCGTGCTGCAGGGCAGACGAGAAGGGCAGACAATAAGAGGGGTACTCACCTCCTTCCCTGGTCTCCAGAGGGTGAACAGCAGCAGCAGTGGACTCGATATCTATCTCTGTATTGAATGAACGTTTGGTCGTCGGTTGCAACAGCAGTCAAGGAGAACGGAAAAAGCTCTTCTTGCGGACGAATCAAATGTCGCTTTGACTGCTGGGTCCAACACTGGAGAGGGCTCAAAACGAGCTGACTTTCTCTGCTGGGATAGGACAAGCGGAGAGAGAAGAGAGAGAGCAAGAAGAAAAAGAAGGGTGTTTGCGAGCACTCTGTTTCCTACCGGTACTCGTGGTAGATGCCAGCATGGACAGGCGCGAACGACGGTGAGGTAGAACGTTGAGAGCAGGCACGAGCTCGAGGGGGGGGAGAGAGCACGAAACTAGTGCGAGTGGTGGTGGTGACGGGACGATGACGGACTCTTGTTGCATTCGGACGAACCCCAAACGTTGCTGCGACCGACTGGCTCGGAAGCATGTCAAGCAGAGCCGCGCGCGCGCCCCCATGGGAGGGAATCAAGTCGAGTCAGCGTGTACCCCTTCTCTTCTTGGCTCGCACGTTCTGAGTGGGACTTGGTGATGGTACACGAGCTACGGTACTCCGGAACGCTATTTCTTTCTGGTGGGGTCTGGCGAGAACGATATTGCCTGGGTGAGAGACAAAGCGAGGCGACATATGGCAAGGTAGGCAAGCACTTTGACTATTGAGTGAACACATGGATGGATGGGTGCGGGATGGATGGAAATCGAATATATCCTTATTAAACCGTCTCATCAGTGTTCGTTGGCATCCAATGCCTGTAGTACTTTGGTTATTGCCCCCCCCCTTCCGCGTGCATGGCCATCTTCCCTTGAAGCGCGCCAGCAAAGAAGAAGCGGGTGGTTGAGAAACCGTGAGGTTTGGCCATCGATATTTGACGACACGACACAGATCGGATCTACTTGCAATGCGCGCGTGCGCGCAGACTTTCGGTTGTATCTACCAACCGCGTAGCCGGCCGCATTTTTTTATCGGCCCCACCCGGCGACGTGCTTCTCTTGTCCACCACTACAGTAGCTCTGGAGGCAATGCGGGTTGTGTCGCAGGATCCCGACGTCTTTTGCCTTCTTTTTATGTTTGGTAGAAATAGCTTCGCGTGCACGCCAGAGGGGGGGAAAAGCTCTCGACGCTCGATGACGTTCCATGAAGAGATGGACAAGGACAGCAGTGCGTGCTTCTGTCACGACATGACAGCGGTGCCGACGCGTCGATTCCATGGAGGAACGAACAGGCTTCTTCGAAGCACGCCGTAGGAGCAGTCCCGTACCCGCACCCCACCCGTAGCCAAGCTACAACCTAGACTGTGCTTCGATGAGAACGCCAACATGCATCAAAACACGCACGCATGGTTTGCATCCATGCCCTTGATTTTCAAAACAACGATTACTTGCCCCGAGCTCAAACGAACAAGATCACAGCATACCACAACCACAGTTCAACAGGTCAGATGAAAATCACGCAAAACTGCGCGTGCAGCACGCAGCAGCAAGAAAAAGGGAAAGATACACGAAACGGCAGGCCTTCCCACCGCAGGAAAAAACGACGGCACACTTTCACGCAGAATCAACAAGCAACCCTCTCCCGGTAGGATGGGCAAGAACAAAACCAGCCCACTGAACACAACACACACTAAGGAGTTAAATTACTGGCGTCGAAAGGAGCAAGGATTGTTCCAGCAGCAAGACTTCTGAAACAAACGCACGGTCGCTGCTGCCACTATCTTGCATCGTACATACCGGTAGAGGGTACACATTTACTAGACGATTTGTTTCATTCTGACGCACGCCAGAAACTCTCCAAAAACTTATGAAACCTCATATGCCAATCAAAACAGAGGAGAACGCACCAGTAGTTTAAGTCAACAAGGAGAAACAACATGCGAAGGGAATTATCAAGCCCGTTTCCAGAGACAACCTCCTCGTGTAAATTTACCGAATCTTTGATCGAGCCTCCCTCAATGCCCTCCCCCCCCCCCCCCCCCCCCCCCCCC